TTCCTGAAGCATGTTTCTGAATGGGGCCTAATTGGAATAGGTTTGATGCAAAAGGCCTCATGCAAGGGGTCAGTGGAGAGCAGGTCATCTAGGATCCCCTCTGGGGGTGGGAGCATCATTCCAAGTTAGAAACATGGACAGCAAACTTGTGTTAAAAGTTCTCCTGCTAAGTGGGGCCATTAATGGTACTTCAGGATCTTGATGGCCCATTGGCAAGCAATCAAGGACCCCCCCTCCCCCCTCAATGGACTTGTTTGTCCTGTAAGCCTGGGAGGAGGTAGGGGGGCTCCTACCAAGTGGCCCTGTCACCTGATGCTGGGGCCCTTCTAGGACACAAAAGGCAGGAAGCAGGACTCCCCTGCTGACCAGGGAAGAGGGCTGCTGGAAACATCCAAGATTTTGTCTACACTTAAAAAGCATAAAGCCCAGTGCTCTGTGACACCCACTTCCAAGAGGGGAGTAGCTCACAGCACTGGGAACAGGACTCCCAGCATCATAGCCTGGTTCACACCGGGGCTTTATGGGGCTGCAACTTGCTGAGTTGGGAGGGGGGGGTGGGGTGGGGTTTTCACACCCTTGAGCCAGAAAATTACAAGTCTTGTAAAGGGCCAGGGTTGGTGTGGTCTTAGTGCATTGTTTTATTTACTTGGGCATTGTTTATTTGGTTTTGTTCTGTCAGCTGTCTTTTGTCACCTCTTAAACCCTAATCTCTTTGCTGCTTAATAAAATCACTTGTGTTACAGCAATTGTTGTAATCAAATATCAAAAAAGATATTTCGGCCTTGGAAAGGATTCAGAAAAGGGCAACTAAAATGATCAGGGGTTTGGAACGGGTCCCATATGAAGAGAGGTTAAAGCGACTGGGACTTCTCAGTTTAGAAAAGAGGAGACTGAGGGGGGATATGATAGAGGGATATAAAAGCATGAGTGGTGTGGAGAGGGTGGATAAAGAAAAGTTATTTATTAGTTCTCATAATAGAGGAACTAGAGGACACCAAATGAAATTTTAAAACTAATAAAAAAGTTCTTCACACAGCATGTAGTCAACCAGTGGAACTCCTTGCCAGAGGAGGCTGTGAAGGCTAGGACTACAACAGTTTAAAGAGAAGCTAGATAATTTCATGGAGGTTAGGTCCATAAAAGGCTATTAAGCCAGGGGATAGAAATGGTGTCCCTGGCCTCTGTTTGTCAGAGGCTGGAGAGGGATGGCAGGAGACAAATCGCTTGATCATTGTCTTCGGTCCACCCTCTTTGGGGTAGCTGGTGCTGGCCACTGTCGGCAGACAGGCTACCGGGCTAGATGGACCTTTGGTCTGACCCAGTACAGCCATTCTTATGCATGTTATGTTACAGTACATCTCTCTCTCTGCCCTGAGAAAGAGGCCCACAGGAGCTTACCTTGTGTACAGCAAGACAGATTCATCTGGGGGCCCAGCCCAGCCCCACAGAGTCTGTACATCTGGGTGCTAAGGCAAGTCCAGTTGGCTGAGCCGCCCAGAGTTAAAGTGCAGGATCCCAGTAAAGGGCTGTGACCCCCTCTGTGGCAGAGCTGGAAGGGGCTTGCTCAGCAGGCTGCAGTTGAGGGGCACCCAGGAAAGCAGGCTCAGTGGTATCTCAGCCCATTGAGTGATGTGCCTCACACTAAACAGCCTGAACGGGGGAGGACTAGGCCTTCCCTTTGCTCTTCACCCATGCTAGGGTAGAGCAGCAGACCCAGGACAGCTGGGTTCCAACCCAGGCCGCGTGTTGTCAAGCAAGTTACTCACTCCTAACTCAGTTTTCCCTAACCTAGAAATAATTCTGATGCACCCCTCCCAAAGCACTTTAAGAGCCTTGACAGGCAGATCTCAGTGGGTGTTAACTCTGAAGCCTAATGACATTGTTTTATTGCCAAACTGAGATGGTGGACGAAACATACCGCCAATTATTCCTCTTTCTGGATAGTCTCAAGTTTCACATATAGCACCCAGTACTCTGGTATCAGATCGCTACCCAGCTTTGGCGGACGCTCGCCATGCCCCACTATCCTCCCCCATCCCCCAATTTCTCTCAGAGCCTGAGCACAATGATTCCAGAACATTCTTTTTTGCATACAAAAAACAAACTTTAATCCCTCCAGTCACACCACCCCCAGCTCCCACCAGTGCTGCCCTTTCAACAGGGCTTGGTGAAGAGACTCTGACATCAGGAAAGACGCCACATTCTGATCCCCCTTACGGACTGAAAGCCTCAACAGTTTCTTGGTTTTAGGGAGAACTAAGGCAATAGATGGTGAGGCAGGTGGGCAGATCCCTGGCCAGATCTGCGGTCAGCTGTGCTGGCCGTGCCCGAATTGAGACTGGACCAGGTCTTGGAAGGATGACTGGAAAACTGATTCCGGTTCTAGCAGCATTAGAAATAAACGGAGTCCCGTTCTGCCCAGGAGACCCAGCCAAGGGGAACTGAGCCCATGGTGGGGGCCGGGGCAGAGACTACTGTAAACATGTGCGTGCAGGCTTAGATATCGGCTATAAATATCCAAAGCCCCCTCCCCCGCCCCCTGCCCAAAAAACATAAATACATTCCACCGGACGCGCCCCCTCTATACACGTGCTTCACCAGAAACAGATTGCTTTCGAGCCGGGGATGTGCAAACGCAGGCCCTGCCCCCCGACAGCATAGGCCAGGCAGTGAGGTACAGTGTGTTTGCGGGTTACCCGTAACATCGCCGGGCCAGGCAGCTCTGACCGTGTCTAGCCCTGGATTCCACTGGCAAGGAGACTTCCAGGCAGAGGAGGGGAGCAGCCACGGTCCTCGCTCCTGGTGCCCCCTCTGACGACGCAGCGAGAGGCTCACATGAGGCAGCAGCTGCGCTCGGCCCCGTAGGAGTTATCCACCCGGTCGATCTCCTCAATGATCTTGGTAAAGATTCCCCGGGTCATCTGCAGGGATGGGGTGGGGGAGGGGTGTTTGAGTGAGAGCAGGGAGGGCCCCCCTGCGGGGTGGGATAACTGGGGAGCAGCCTTAGGGGACCGCCCTGCGCCTCAAGCATGAGGGTCCAGCATCTGCCAGCCTCCTGCCCCATGTCCCCGCCCCAAGGATGCCTGCATTTGGGCAGGGGCTGCAGAGCTTGGTGGAATTCAGTCACTTTACCCCTGGGGGCTGCCCCCTGCCCTCCCCCAACCCCTCAGCTTTGTGGGGATGGGCAGATTATATCCCCCTCCCCCTGCAGGTACCAGGAGATCCTGCAAAGACGGGCCATCAGCACCCGGGGAAATTCAGCACCTCTCTCCGCCCCAACCAAGCGCCTGGGCTGAGAGGTGAACTAGACCAGACCTGGTTCTCTTTGGCCGACGACTCCAGGAAGATGGCCCCCCAGGAATCTGCCAGCTTCTTGCCCTCGTCTGTGTTCACCTCACGGCTAGAGACACAACAGGGGGTTGAACAGGAGCCGGCTGAGGAGGGACCCCCACTCCCCCGTTAGGCCAGAGCTGCCCTCCCGCCAGGAACGTGGCAGCATGAGCAGGTGGAGCCAGAGCTTGGTGGGAAGCTCTGGGGAGATGGGGTGCAGGGGGAGCAGGGTCACAGAGCTCACGGCAGAGCCGCTTCTTACCTCTCCATGGAGAGATCAGCCTTGTTCCCAACCAGCACCACCGGCATCCTGCAGGGTAAGAGAGGGTCACAAGAGCCAGGAGAGCAGAGTGATCTGGGATCCTGCCGCCTCTGGCCTGCGCCTCCCCAGCTCAGGTGGACTAGAGCCCACGCACCCAGAGCACCAGGGGCCCAGCCCCGCCTGGGAGGAGCCCCGAGGCAACAGCCCAGTCAGCCACGGACTGGGAGGTGGGGGGGGGAAAGAGGAGGGATTTGTGGTGCAGGCACATGCCCTGTTTGGAGTCCAGCAGTCAGAGATGGAGCAGGGTCACCCATGGAGCCAGCCTCTCCCCACTTTTCAGCACAGGTGGGGCCCGCACAGGGGAGGGCGACTCTTACCTGGTTTTCCCTCTGCTTTCGTACAGCCTGTTGTGAAGGGTCTTAACCACCTGGAAGCTGCAGAGAGAGGAGAGGGAGCAGACTCTAAGGAGAAGCCACAGAGCTGCAGCCGCATTGCTCCACCCCTGGGCTGGGCCGCTCCGGACTCAGCCCATCCCTGCTCCCCTCCTGTAGGCTCAGGGTGGGCCAGTCTTCCCGAGACCTGTCTGGAGTCACACATGGGAGCCAAGGGCCCCTCCGGATCCTCTACTCCAGGAACAGCACCCATTGGAGCCGACTCTGCTCCGATCTGGAGATCTGGCCCCTAGGACACGGAGCTCACGGCCCCTACAGTCAAGCACCAATCCCACCCTCCAGGGGAGCCCTCACCTTCGGAGCGAGGTGACGGAATAGACCAGCACGTAGCCGTGGATGCCGATGCTGAAGGAATGGGGCAGGATGGTGTACTCGTCCTGGGGTGCCGTGGGCAGGAGAGAGTCGCATGAACAGCGGCGGGTGAGAAATAGACAAGACAGCTTCTTCCCCCACCCCACTTTATTACAGCATCCCACCCTGCCGAGACACGGGAGCCCAGCCCACGCTAAACAGAATCGAGCCAGGTTGGCACATGGGTGGGAGACCCTCCCCCAGGCCACAGAAAGCCCAGTGCTTTTCCCTCTAGGTGGCTAGTGCCCCAGCATGATGCTACAGGACACTACTGCTGCTGGAGGTTAATTCCTTTGGAAACACAGAACCACTGAAACTGTGTTATTTTTGGGAGGGGGGAGGGACCTGACCAAATTCTACCCCCCTCCCTAACTGTCCTTCTGGTCTTGAGACAGGATTTCACCCTTCCTGATCTAAACGGCTGCCATGATAAGAGAAAGGTTCCATGCCAGAGATGGCTGCATCATATATCCCTTTTGGGGGTGGAGAGGGAGACCCGTCAGGAGGAGGCACCATGTGGAAAGCTACACCCGTTTCCCCCCCAGGTCTTACCTGCCCTGCAGTATCCACCAGCTGGAGGTGAAATTCATCCTTTCCCACCATCAGCATTTTGTTGTAGGCTGGGGGAATCAATCGCACAGACCTGTTACAGGGAACAGTCCCCACACCCAGCCCGACCGCTCCCTGCTGCCCTCTGGTGGCCAGGCCGGGCACAGGCTTACAAGTCCACTCCTCCCCATAGCCAACAGCCTGGCCCTTTGGACCCAGAGGTCCCAGGATCAATCCCTGAAGGGCATCCGCTCCCGCCCCGGGTTCCGGTTGCTGAAGGAGCAGTGACTAGGAGACAAGCCCCTGGGCTTCTGCGCACAGCCTGTCGGATGCAGCTCCCCCCGCTGGTGTGGGTCCTGCTGGGCTGGTACCAGGGGGCTGTACCAGTCCCCCCAGGCTTAGATCAGCTCTCCTGTCGGTTGGGTTTGTCCTGCCCAGCTGGCTTCGCACAGAACCAAAGCCCAACTTGGAAACATTTGAGCTGGAGGAGTCCCAGCGGATCCTGCCCTCCCTCCTCCCCCCAGAAGGGATGCAGCTTCCTCTGCGGATGTCAACCAAGAGTGGATTTGCAAGCATGAGGAAGACACAGAGACTCCACAATGCGCTAAGGGGAAGCTCTGGCCTGTGGTACCCTCTACGCCTAGCTGGGACCCAGCAGCTCTCCTGCGATTTCACACACAGGACCTGCTGCTCCACAGACACTAAGTGCAGCCGGAGGAACGGCTGCGTTTCCGGACAACAGGCAAGCCTCAGTAACGCCCACCCAACCGCCTCGCTCTATTGGGGGTGGAGGGCTCATGAAAAGCAGGAAGGGGCTAGAAACAGCCAAGGGCAGGAAGGAGGGAGGGGTTTGCAGCAAACGCAAAAGGAAACACCCCCCGCCACCCCAACCCACATGCAGCACGTGGCCTTTCAGCTTAAAGGCCCCCTTGAACCAGATTCTCGCCCTCGGTCGCTGATCCCTGAAGCTAGAGATGGAGCCCTGATGGAGGTAACCCTGCCACCCGCCCTGCCTCCTGCAGAAGGCTCTGGATTCCAGGCAAGGAAGTCACTTTCTCCCATATCCCATCCCCAACAGCTGGCACTTTAATGGGCATCTGAGCACTTGTGAGTTCTACCCTAGACACCGCGTGTCCCTAGACCTATCCAAGAACCACAACGTGTGCATCCGGCAGGCTGGTCGAGTGGATGGGTGCTGGACAAGGCTCTGTTCACTCAGCTGCATCACTTTGCCAAGTCCCCTCCCCCCCACTTCAGTGTTTCTATTCCCCCAAATCTTTAAACAAGGGGGGGGGAGAGAATCTCCACAACACCTCCCCTGGAGGCCAGTTTTGGTGGGGGCCCTAAGCACTATGGGGATAAATAAGCGCAATGCAATGCCCACTACAGGCTCACTCAGCCTGAAAAGGGCCCTGGACTCACTGCTTTCCACTGTAGGGTCATAGCACTCCAGGAATTCCCCGTCGATGAACTGATGAGCCAGGGAGGTTTTACCTGGAGGGAAGAGATTTGAAACCGTGTTGCTGTGAATGCGGCAGGCACAGCGCACACGGCAGTCAGACCCCTGCAGCTGGCCCGCGCCAGCTAAGAAGCTAGTCAATTACAACGTACACCAGGGTCCTTGAGACCAGGGCCCCCGCCTGAGCCTAATGGACAGGCCCTTAACTTTTGCTGCTGCTAGGAGCCCCCTCCTTGCCCTTTCACAGAGACCAACATGGCAAGGCCACCCATGTGTACACCCCCATAAAGGTGTGCTGGGAACTTCCAAACTCAGCTTCCAAATTCACACCAGCACTAAGGGCATCCCTTCTGCTTGGCCATGTCAGGGGTGAGGGGTTTAGAGACAATAGTTTGATCAGAAGCAGGATTTAAACCCTCTCGCCCAAACCCCATGCTGCCGACCCACTGTTGGAGATGGGGGCTTCTGACTTTAGCAGACTAGCCGCCCCCCCCTTTGCCTGCCCAGGGCAGGCCCTTAGGACTGGGCACCCAGGCACACAAGTTACAGACTAACAGGACTATCCCTCTGAGACTTTTTTTTTTTAAAGCTGAATGTTAGAAACTAGATCTAAGGAAACGAGCCACTTCCCAAGGCCGACCTCTGACCCCGGTCATTTCCTCCCTCTCCTCGCAGGCCATGTGGTTGAATGGCAAACTGACCCCACATGACCCCTAGCCTCCCCTTCCCCCCCCCAGCTC